AATGTTTTCTCCGGTTTTAACGAGTAAAAATTTTGGCTCAACCCTGGCTCAAGATACTGAAATCGGTGAGTTTTGATTTCATCAAAAAAACTTCTTAATATGAAATGACAGCAGAAAACATTCAAGGGGGAGACTAGATCATGTTAGTAAAACCACTTGAGACTAGACAGTGACGTTCTTTTCCTTCTTTGGGATTCATGGAAACAACGTCAAACAGTTATCCTTTGAATATGACAATAATAATTTGGTTGTGTTTCTAGATTCGAGTTTTTCGAAAACACTGATATTTCAAATTCATTCTGAAAGAAATTCAAAAAAAAACTGTAATAGAAAGGTCTCCTGACCTTCAACTTTGAACAAATCCTTTTCGGTTCCTGTGAAAGATATCAAAAATTGGTCAACTAATGAACTGCTTATCATAATATCACAAACATTTCACTACTTGCAACATTTTTTATCTCTCTTATAGGAATTGTGATAATTCAGCTCAAACTTGACAGCGTGGTGCTCTTTTATATCAGGTATTACGGCAATCGGTTAGGCTAATTGTCAGCTTCAACCGCTTGGAATGTATCTTGCATGCCCATTTTCAAGGCGAAGCTCTAAAACATTTTTAGAAAAGTTCTGAAAATTAAAGACGTTGAATTGTCGATTTTGGCGGGAAGTAAAAAAATCTTCTAGAAGTTTCTCAAAAAAGGTTTCACTGTGTTTATGGGAATCAACCATCTTACTATAATACAACAAAAGTTTCTGGTCCGTGTCCCTCTTTCAGTTAAAAAAACTAGTATTCCAAACTTCTTTTTGGGTTCTGAAAATGTTACAGATTGGGGTTTAGTAAAACCGGAAGCAGAAAATTGTCGCGGGGCCAACAACAACTTGTTTGAAAACAAGTTATAGTTCCTCTCATTTTCTGAACTCTTGCATTTTCTATTTTCTGTTCGGTAGATAATGTCCGCTACTTTTCTCAAAGGTACATCTGAAGTTCAGATCCTGAACCAGGTTGTTAAACTTTTAGACTTTATTTCGGGGTTTGATCAGGCCATATTTATCGGTTTAGAGAGGACCTTCTAATAATTTTTTTTACAAATAAATGTATGTGTGAAAACAAATATAAAAATAATATTTTCTTCAGATATTGTATCCTCTTATATTAGATAATAATCTGTTTCATAAACACGATCGTGTGTAATCCATCGTCGTCATCATCATCGCCCGTTTCCCATCCAAAGAGATGTAATCGTGGGCTCTTGAGAGTAGAAGGTGCACCGCCAAATAAATCTGTCATCGAAGCAAAAGAAGAACAGGCGGCACACGATATGAGAAAGACAAGGGTGGCGGTAGAATATGACAAGTGTGATTCATACACACCTTTTGGTGTTGACATAACAATAGAAAATGATTCGTGGGATGAATATGTCGCATGTTGTGCCACGTGGCTATTCAGATGATGTATTGGGGGTAGATGAGCAGAATATGATATGTTGAGAAATGAACATAATGAAAATACTAGAAAGTGTGAAGAGGAAAAGAAGGTGGGGTACTAAATGTAACCATAATCATTCTTATATATAAAACGCGTCTGCCTGTTCCGGTGTCAGTCTTTCCATTTTTGAAAAGCTTGAAAAATAAGTATAGATTTAAAAAGAAAACTAGGTTAGGTCGGGCCGAAGGTGCACCAGCCAGCTGTAATACGATGTATTTTTATCCAGATTATCCTTCAGCTCCACTTGAACCGCGTCTGAAATGTCCTGTTTCCAAGGAAAAGTTAGAAAATACAGTACCGGTCATTAAGATTTACAAAAAACATATTTTTCAGTTTATTTCTGGAGGTCGTCTCTAAGAATTTCAATCACTCTGAACTATTTGGAGGATGTTAGACAGACCTAGATTATGAACTTTGCATTCACATAATTTTTGAAAAATCCTTATATTTTCGATTTCTGAAAGACGGTCTTATACTGAAAACTCTTTCAGAAATCAGCAAATAACTGAAAAACTATGAATTTTCCAAAAAATATGTAACTCCAAAGTTTTCAATCTAGGTCTGTTTTACATTCTCCCAAAATGTTCAAAGTGATCGGAAACCTGACAGCCAAGATATGACCTCCTGAAAATTGTCAAAATCAACTGAAAAACACGGTTTTTATGAACAATAAAATTTGTGAAAAATAACAAGTTTCAATAGTGTACTGATTAGCCAGACTTTTGCCTGTTGATCCCTTTCGCCACGTAGAGGCTCAGTACATGAAAGGGTCCCCCGCCCGCGGTCTCCGAGGACCATTGTTGGATAATTTCCAAAGTTCCTTTTCCCTTGTAAGAAGCCGTGCATAAGCTTTTGATTGTTATTTCATATTCTTTTAATCTTTGATTGAATCTTTTGCAAAAGGGGGACGTTCAGTGGATTCCACCTAGCCATGAACCCCAAAACATGGCGACCCTTAGGGCCTTTCAGTACTTTTTTCGCAATCGATCAATCAAAAGATCAAAGAGGAAATGAATCAACAAAAAGAAGCGTATGCAAAGAGCTTCTAACCAGTGAGAAAGAACTTGTAAAAATTATCCAGCAATGAAGTCAAAAGAGGGGATTTCACAAAACCCGAGTTTTTTTTTAATATGTGGAATATTTTCCAACGTGGACAAAAGGAGAAGACGTGACCTAACACTGACTGATTTATTAATTTATTGCGTTACGTGAATAAGAAATAAAATTTTTTGAAAAACTTGAACATTAAATATAATTTGACGTGACCTTTTGAAAAACCGAAAAGTGAGGAGCGGAGCGAAAAACCGTAAAATATATAGGGTAAATCGCGCCGAAGACGCACCAGCCATCTGTTTGAAGGGAGGCGCGGCAAGCAGGCTGGTATTAGATAGTAATTTTGGAAGAATAATATTTTATATCTAATCTCGAGTTCAATACATCCCTTGAAAGTGGACTCCGACAAGAACGTTTATCGCATAAAACCTAGAACTCGAATAACTCAAAACGAATTGAAACGATCTCTATCTTATCTAGGATTGAAAAAAAAGTGACCCACCTGTGTTTCGATTGTTCGTCATTTCCAATTAATTAGTCTTCTTTTCCACAATGCTCCTCCCTGTTGCCTTGAATATATCTGCGTCTCTCCAAATCTTGATACTTTTCGAATATCTATCATCCAGCCTAGTCTGTCACCGATTTGACTGATTACCACCCCGTCCCCTCCCCGTCCTATTGAGCCCTCAACCCAACACACTCCTCTTCATCTCGTCTTCTTTCTTCACCAATAGTCACAATATTGTCGTTTCATCTTCCCTCCTCCTCCTGACACAACATCTTGTCTCTTACTCTATTTTATTGAATTCAATAACCTTCCTTTTAGGAACTTAATAACTTTTCAAATTACCGTAATTCTTTGGAACTGACTTCGTGCTCCAAACTTCACATTCCACATACATGGTACCCTCTATCGTCCCAAAAAACTTTGAAAAAAAAAATCGTCGTATCCTCCCACGACGTCTTCTTTTACTATTCTCAATTATATTTTTGTGAATGATTTCCGAAAGAATCGCCAGATACTTCTTTTAAAGTATCAAATTCCAAAAAGCTGAAATGACGTCTTCTTTTTCTTGAAAAATAAGAAATGACCCATTCGCCTGGTCACTTTTTCTTCTTTTGTCTTCGTCTTCTTCTTCTTTTCACTTTACGATTTCTCATTGTCTTCTAACAACAATCCAATCTCAACGTCCTTCAAACTTTTGGTGCTCCGTGAGCTAAACATGGAATCGTTCATTTCTCTTCCTCTCTCTCTTTGATAATAGAGAGTGATAAGACGTTTGCATGTGTGCACTCATATGCATAATCATAATCTATAGGTCAAATTTGCGCATCTTTCTCTCTTGTTGACTCTCGGGAGTGTCTCCCAAGGAGCAGAAAGAGAGAAAACGTTCTAGGCCTCTTCTTTACTTTTCTCCAATCTTTTTTACAGTTTTTATCAGACTTGTTAGCTTCACCGAACGCAACAGTTTTATGTATTTTGATGCACTTTCTACCGGTTTATCGGATACCAGCAAGCTGGTGCGCCTTCGGCGCGTTTTAACCTATTTTTTACTGGTTCACCGCTCCACTCCTCACTTTTTCTTGAAGGGTCACGTAAATCTATATTTATTTTTCACGTTTTTCAAAAGTCGGCAGATCCTCAAGAGGACAGACAGACGCCTCTAGCGTTTTATATATAAGAAAGCTAATAATTCCTAATTTGTCCGTTTATCAGGAACCTGCAATTAATTCAAGATGCATGGAGCCCGTCTTATTTATTTGGAACTCATTCTATAAAGCATATTTTTTACCGACCGGAACCATACTTTTTACGGACCGGCCAAGGTCAGATTCTGAAATTTCAAAATTCTTAAGTTTTTGAAGTTTTTATAAATTTTTAAAGTTTCGATACTTTTGCAAAGAGGGAATATTTAGGAAAATTTTATTTGAGATTGAATTCAAAAAGTTTCTCACAAGAATTTTTTTTAAAAACCAGCTACTCTGGCCGACCGGGCCGGAATTTTACAAGCATGCTATGAACCAACTTTTCAAAAATAGGTGTTATCCAGCGGTCCCCTAAATTCCAGCTGAAATTCTTTAGATAAGCCAAAGTTTATTTAGTTTTTGATGCTTCTCTGTTACTTCTAAAAAACGGTTCCTTTTCTCTTAGTACCATATCAAATGTCTTTTTTTCCTTCTCCCTACTTTTCATTAATCCAAAAGCTAACATTCCCTCTTAATTTTCTGTTTTCCTTTGGTCTACTCAACCCCCATATCAAATATTTCGTTTTTTGTTTTGAATCTACTCCCGTCTCACTCAACTGATTTCATTTTGTTCTTTTTTTGAATTCTTCTCGAATTCCTTTTGAGTGTAAATCTTGTAAACTCAATTCTTTGTCTTTTTCACGCCTTCACATCTTCTTCTTTTTCAGAATCGCCACAATTGATAGTGTCACGAACGACGTCTCCTCTCTTTTCACCGATGATTCCGAGGAGAATTAATTGGATTCTAATTCTTCTCAATTTATCACAAATTCAATCTTTATTAGATGCATCGTGGTGGTTCGTTTTTCATTTCGTAATCTTGAATTTCAAGTTTTAAATGATATTCCAGGTCAACAGTTGCACAACTATCCACCGCTTTAGCTGGACACAATGTAAAGCCAGTATGTGAATTACCTGGTCTTTCACCAGGCCAGGCTCAAGTCTGTGAACTATTCAAAGATCATATGCCAGCAGTGAGCATTGGAGCTCAGAATGCTATACAGGTCAGTGAATTTACAAATTCGTGCACTTCGCTTTTCCACTCTTACAGTAAAATCTGTATTAGAAGGAAGGTCCTTCTATTGTTTCAGGAGGGTCTTTCTATTACAGAGGCCTTCCAATCAGAGGAGGTATATATATCTTTCCGCTCATTTTTCCCAATTTTATAGCAAAAAATTCGGTGAATTCTCGTTCAAAATTGCTGAAAACCAATAAATTTTCTCTGAAATTTTAGAATTCAAACAGCACATTTCGATGGGGCCCTTCTATTTCAGATGTCCTTCTAATTCCGATGTTACGGCAATTCATTAATAATTCCCAATTTTTCAGGAATGCCAACGACAGTTCACTGGTCACCGATGGAATTGTTCCACCCATTACAGTACTGGAATGTTAGGCCCAATTCATAAAATGGCAACTCGAGAGGCAGCATTCACGTATGCGATTCTGTCGGCTGGAGTTACGCATGAAATCGGAAGACGCTGTAAACAAGGACTTCTTACTTCCTGTGGATGCTCTGATGAGACTAAACCAAAGAATGTACCGACGGATTGGAGTTGGGGTGGTTGTGGAGATAATGTGGAGTATGGATACAAGTTCTCAAGAGACTTTATTGATATTCGAGAAAAAGAGCACGATCCGAAACGAAATCATGACAATGGAAGAAGTTTGATGAATCGGCGTAATAATGAAGCTGGAAGAAAAATATTGAAACGGTGGGTACCTGATATAAATGAATAGCTCATAAACTATGACATTCAGCCATCGAAAACCGAAATGTAAGTGTCACGGAGTCTCCGGAGCATGCAATATGAAAACATGTTGGATGCAGCTACCTTCAATGGAACAAGTTGGAAAAATCTTGAGGAATAAATACGATAAAGCAATTAGAGTTCAGGTAGAATTATCTGATTTTCAAGCTCTTTGATAGTTTTTGGTTATTCAGATAAATGATAGAGGAAATCTACAATTGTTGGCTGATGAAACGAGTAAAGAAAGAAAGACACGAGCACTTCCAACAGATTTAGTTTTTATGGACGACTCGCCGGATTACTGTAGATTTGATAGACATTCTGGAACATTGGGAACAGAAGGAAGAGTTTGCAAGTGAGTTTTTAATCTCAGAAAAAAAAATCAGGAGTTCTAGGCCGTTTGCTTGTCCACATGGACTCCACGGCCAGAAAAGTGAGTCCCTTGCAGGAAATTCCATGCGGCTTCTTTTCAGCACTTTTGAGCATTAAAGGTGCATGGGATTTTTTGCAAGGGTCTCGCTTGGCTAACCGTGGAGTCCACGTGGACAAGCATATGAGCTAGAAAACTCGAGCATTATTGGCTGCCCGGCTGCAGCTAATTTCTGATTTTGCTTGGCTCTGAATAGTTTTTTTTTTAATTCAAAACATGAAATTTTCAGACGCGGTTCAAGTGGAGCTGAAGGATGTGACAGTCTTTGTTGTGGTCGTGGATACAACACGTACACACAGGAGGTCAAATCAAAGTGTAACTGCAAATTCGAATGGTGCTGTAAAGTAGTCTGTCAGACTTGTAATAACATGACACAAGTTGATATTTGTAAATAACTTCACTCTTCAAATCTCTCTATTTTAACTCAGGACCACCTTTTCAAAATCCCGCCAAATCTTAGCCCGTTTGCTCAATGACAGCTACTTAAACACCACATCAGACGACAAAAATCACAACTTTTGAATCACAACTATTTCCAGTCACATTCCTCCATTGCCCAAAAATTTTCAAAGTTTTCATTTTCTCTCTACATTCAAACTGAAACCCAAGTCAGTTGATTTCAAGACAATAAATGTATTTATTTCAACAAATAAAAACTTAAATACAACATATTTTTCAATAGTAAATGACTTCTACATTCTGTAGAATGTACCCAGTTTATAACGAGTTGCTTCTCCATGACTTGGTGTAATTTTTAAAGGAACGAGACGACGCCAAAGGAGAAGAGTTGAGATTATTGCGACAGTGACAATAGTCCAGTGATATACCATTATCCATTTATAACCACTCAGTTCGAATAGACGACTGAAATTTTAGAGTTAAAATTAATTTACTGTCTTCCAAGCAGTGTCTGATTTTCGTTACGTTTGAACTGACCAGTTTTTTAGTTGATTTAACATGGTGGCCTAACTTTCGCAAGTTGATTTTTCTAGGCCACCGACTTTTATGACCTAAAAAGGACATGGTGGGTTTTCTCGTCATTTTGGCTAAGTGGCCTAATTTTCGCAAGTTGTGCTATCTAGGCCGCCATGGTAAATGACCATAAAACCCATCAGGTAAATAGCCGGTCATTTCTCGATCATAAAATTTGATGGCCTAGAAAACTCAACTTACAAAAGTTAGGCCACCATGATCAAATGTCCTAGAACGCACTGACTATGAGCACAGTTTAGATGTTTGGACGTTCGTTCGAAAATTTTTCGAAATTAGCCGTTTTCGAAAAACACATACTGCTCCCAAGTGACTTACGTTGAGAAAAGGGAAACAACAAATTGAGAAAACGCACCCGTAAACGCGAAGAATCCTTGGACGGTTCCCTGAAACTTTTATTGTATCGAGAACCATTCAAACTAAAAAACCTGCTTCCTCGGACCAATTATCTGGCTCAATAAAGAGCTTGAAGTTGACGAAATCAATGGAAAACCTAATCCAATGATTGCCGAAGAAATCAACAAATATAGAGGAAGTGGAACTCTTGGAGTATCATCACACCAATCAAATTCACATCTTCCGATTTCTGAAATTGTAGAATTCAGAGTTCCCAGACGATCGAGTGGTCCTGTATAGAATGGAAGTGGCATGTGCAACACGAAGAATAGTTTGAAGAAACCCAGTCCAGCTAGGAGAAGAAGGCGGTTGTCGACCTGAACATTTTGGAAATGTTGACCGATTTAGTAAACAAGAAAACTGACAGTTTTCAATTTAGTAGCAGCAAGACTGAAGTTGACGATGAAGGTGAAAACACAAGAAACCGTTTGAATGATTCCATTGTAAAGTACAGCATCCTCTCTGCTCCAATTATACATTGCAATTGTTACAGGAGCTGCCATACTCTCCACGCAAACAACTCCACACATAAGCCACCACATGTAAAACAGAAGAAGAACTGGTAATCTGTCGAACTTCGGAAGTACAAAATACGGATCTTGGCTCTTTTCCTCTTCACTGATAATTCCCACGTAGTTTTCTTCCAGGAAGAAATAGGTCAAAATTATTGAAATCGCACTGATAATTGTCATGAATAGAGCAGCAGATGTATACATGTTTATTATAAATGGACCGATGTTGAATCCATATTTTCCAAGTGGAATGAAACAAATCTGAAAAATTGATCCATTCAAACAGAACCCTCATTTTTCAGAGACCTGTATAGTTGGTCCTAGAAAGAATCCAGCAGTAAATCCAGCATTGGTTATAGACACTGCCTTCATCCGGTCTTCTTGAGTACTCGCTGTTCCAATGAAACTTCTAAGAACGCCGAGAGCACCAGGACTGAATCCAGTGAGAATTCTCGAGAATAACATAACCCATTTGACATATGGAGGTGCTAGATAAGCAAATGCATAGAGAAGATTCCCGAATCCTGCAATTGCACATGCACAGAATACTGGTTTTCTAGTGGACGTTGAAATTTGATTCCAATATCCAAAAAGAGGATTTGCAAATGCAGAAGACAGTGCTTGCAAAGCTAGAAGGACTCCGAAAAAGTCCACTGTCACACTTTCATCATTCTGAAAATTAAACTGTTATTTTTGATTGATAAAGAAAACAAACTTCTGATAAATACTGCCACGTAGAAGTGAAGTATATACTCATCTGAATTCCAGTTAACAGAAGGAGAAAGGCAATGACATAGACTGATGCCCATGGTGTTTTTCGTTCTGATAGCTCTTTTCTGTAATTTTCAAATTTAAAGGCACGAACCAAAAATCTGAACTCACTCTCTTACAGAAATTTTTTTGACCGGAGCTGTCATAGCGTTGTCAGACGACGACCTCAAGATGCAATGAGTTTGAACAACTGACCCATCTTTTTTATGTTAAATTTGAAAAGTCGAACCTCCCGGATTAGGGAAATGATGGATGGCAGTGAGGTTTTGCATATTTTCATATCATTTCGTTTTGAGGACATCATGGTGATGACATTTTTTTGTGATCAACTTATCAACTTCAGAAATCGGAAACAAAGAATGAAGAAGAGATGAAAGATTTTGATTTTGACATGATTTTTGTTAAATAGAAGCTGAATATGGTCTTCCAGTTGATGGAGCTCCGGCTGGTCCGGCTGGTCCTAGTGATGCACCTCACGAGTTTCCAGAATTAATTCAAATGTTCCAAAAAAAGATAACTAAAGTTAGTGGTTCTCAAGATTCTTGTAAGCTTTGAAACCCTCTGAAACGTTTGTTAGCAATATTCGAAGTTTCAGAATTGCTTAAATAATTTTCTGAAATTCCGATGTTCAGTGTCTTTAAATAATACAAAAAAATTGAATGAATGAATGATTTATTGAGCACAAACGGCACGCTTCTAAATTTAGCGGCGTCGGGTTCCGTCCTCGAAGAAGACTCCTCCGTCGATGGCGCAGTACTTGGGGCAGATTCCCTTCTCTCCCTCGCCTCCTGGCTTTCCGGCGGTTCCTGGTCCTCCTGGGTTTCCATCGGCTCCTGGGGCTCCAGCTGGTCCTGGTGGTCCCTTTGGTCCGGCTGGTCCTGGTCCTCCGGTTCCTGGAGCTCCGTCGTTTCCGGCTGGTCCGGCTGGTCCTGGTGGTCCAGCTGGTCCTGGCTCTCCTGGTCCTCCTTGCTCAGACGCCCCTGGCTCTCCTGGTCCTCCTGGGGCTCCTGGGGCTCCGTCGTTTCCGGCTGGTCCTGCTGGTCCTGGTGGTCCGGCTGGTCCTGGGGATGATGGTCCGGCTGGGGATCCTGGGGCTCCATCCTCTCCTGGTGGTCCTGGTGGTCCGGCTGGTCCGGCTGGTCCTGGTGGTCCTCCTGGGCATGGTTGGCATGGTGGCTGAGTGACTGGCTCACATGGGGCGGATGCTCCCTTTCCTGGGTTTCCTGGGGCTCCTGGAGCTCCTGGCTTTCCTGGACGTCCTGGCTTTCCTGGAGATCCTCCTGGTCCTGGTGGTCCAGGGTTGCAGCATCCGTCGCAGCCTCCTCCTCCTCCGCCTCCTCCAGCTCCTCCAGTGTTGTAGGCTTGACGAGCGACACGAGTGTTGTTGCTTGGTGCATCCTTGATAAGATGAACCTCGCTCCAGATGTCACGAGCCGAAACCTTGCAGAAGTTGACGTCAGTGTGAATCTGTTTCTTCACATTGTTGACGTAGTTGTAGACCATTGGCAACGTGATAAACACGGAGACAACAGCCACCACAGAGAAGGTGACAGCCGAATAGGCAACGAACTTGTACGCTTTGATGCGAGCGTCGATGTCCATGATTAGTTGGAGGAATGAGTGATGGACTGAGGAATTCCAAGTGAACAGATGTTTTTATAGTCAACGATGGCTACTACTCGGAACTGGTATAATTGTTGTTGTTAAGGAGAAAAGAGAAGGAGGAGAAGAGATCTAGTTTCTATGTTATCACTTCTTTTCCCATTGGTTTATGATACTGGTTTGTTATTGTAAAGTATCTCGGTTTCTTGAGGAACACAGGATGTGTTAATTGGGAGGAAAATTAAAGGAAGTTAATATTCAATTATTGTCTTACAATTTGAAACTGGAACTGGAAAATCGACTCACTTTGTTCTGTTACAGGCAAATTTCAATTTGTCTCATTTCTTGATGGTTTTTTCATTGAGAATCGAGGCTCATACAAAGCAAATATATTTATTTTCATTTAAAATTAAATACATATTTCAAGCATTTGGTGACTAATGATTACTGAAAAAAGATAATCAAAATCAAAATAGAGTAATTAACATTTAAATGTCTCAATTTATTTTCCGTGCTGAAATCGAATCAATAGCAATGCTTTTCCTCCTTGTGTTTTACTCCAATCTCCATATTTGGCGCACCCAAATCAAACCATTTTTGGACCTGAAGAATCAATTATAGCCATCAATTGTGAAGTACCCTTCAAGTTACCTTTTCTCCTTTATTTATATAATTGTCTGGTACAGTGAAAGTGATCTTCCGACGACAACCTTTTGATGAGGAACGACAGTTGTGGTAGATTCTGAGTTGAGGATCAATGGAGGTGATCGAAATAACGAATCCGGACACTTGGAAAGTACCATTCTCGTAGACATGAGCTTCACCAATCAGGTCATCAGGGTCAACTGAAATTTAATATTTTCTTGGATGAGACTTTTGAAAAGTTCCTTACAGAAATCGTTATCCCATAATTTAACGGTAGCATTTCTAACCGGACGTCCTCCGCACATCAATGTTCCTTTGACTCCAATCGCTTGTTTTCTTCCAATCGCACGAACTTTGTCAATGAAACGAGATGGAACTTTATGGGGGATGGTAAGATTTTCGTTGGCACCAACTTGGGCTGATCCTTCTTCGTGCAATTCAGTCGAGTTATCATCGCGGTTCAAGTCATCTTGTTTCACACAAAAAACAATTGGAATGAGGAAAATGTAAATGAGAGAATTCATGGTAGATGTCTCAAAAAATTCAGAAAAATGAGAGAAAGGGAGGCAGTAGTTGCTTTCCTGTCCAACTAAGCCTTGAATAATCCAACCGAAAAAAGTCAAAATGAGTTATCGACGGTTTCAAGAGATTACCGAAAAAAAAGCGATGCACTCCCATGCTCTTCAAGATGATGTGTGTCTTGAAAAAGAGAGATGAATCAAGTGAAGAAGAAGTGCCTGGTTTTTGAGCTATGGAGTTTTCCAGAATCTTCCAAATACTGAAGAATCACGTAAACATGATGTCTTGGGAGGAAAATAGAAAAAACATGTGTTGCAGGTTCCAGAATTCAGGAAGATACAGAAGAAAAAAATTATGTAAGACATGGGATTTTTAAAGACTACATTTTAGAGACAGTTTTCAAAAAACGAGACTAAATAATTTTCAAACTGGTTTGGAAGTAAAATACAAGGACTCATTTGAGCAATGTTATTTTCTTTGGTTTTTGTCAAATTAGCTGAATGTAAACATTCGCAATTGACTGGCCAGTAACCTGTGAAAGCTTCGTATTCCTTTTCCAGAAATGAACGGAATTCCGTTTTCGAAATATCTTATTCGGTGGTGCTACTCGCAAACATGACATTGTCAACAAAAGAAAAAAATATATTTCGTTCCAGTGATCACAGTTGAAATAAAGATTGCTTCCGGTAAGAAACAAACAAAAGTCAGGGCAGGTAGGATCCTGTAATTTAAATTCTATTCTTCCCCTTGAATTCGTTGACTCACTGCAATCATATTCCGCGTCAATTCCAATCACAGAAACATTAGCAATTTGGTTTGCCAGAGTCTGACATAATGTTTCATCTTTTGTCAAATTCGCATTGTGAAGAAAATACATATTCTGATAGGCCACATTGAGATTCGGAAACGATATATTCTCAAGGAAATCATTTCTTCTGAACTTCATTACAGCTTTGTATCCAACACTGTTTTTAAATCCGTATCCAATGTCATAGCTTGCATCTGAATTTCGCATTTATACATTTTTACATTTTTCTATAGTACTTTTTACCTGAAACTTGATAGATTTCTCTTAAGTTTGGCAGAGAAACGTTTTTCAAAGTACTTCCTTCAATTAAAATTGATCCGAAAACCATTTCGAATTGTTGAATCCTGAATTTAATTTATTTTACAGAAAAGACTGACAAAATATATTTTTGAAATTATGATAAACATTTTGTCTCTTGACAATTTTTCAATTTCGTTTACAAGAAATGAGATTTATGAGCTCCAAGTTGACGGTTCGAGGGACATTCTATAGGAGTGTTTACGGTATGTTTCTATTTTTTCCTCGTCTTGTAGATATATTTCCTGTCATATAAAAACTCAGATATCTCAATTATAATTTCAGATATATAAAAGGACTCTAGGCACTGAACGAAATCATAGTTCGATTCAGATGGAATTTTTCTTCTTATAAAAACTAAAACTAACTTTCTTATGTCAGCTGCCGGAACTTTTGTATAATTTTGAATGTCATTATAGTCTGAGATATCATTATTAATATAGAGGATATCTCCAATATAACGATTACATCTGTCATTAACTGCTGACAATTTTCCCCTACAATAAATCGAAGGATTGTTTATCTCTGCAAATTATATTTATTTTTTATCTTCATCATTTCGCTTAACTGTCTGCTTCACAAAATGTTTTTACATGGTAATCTTGAATTTCTTTCATTTTGGATTGAGCTAATAATTGAACGAATGCTGGGTCGACGCAAAACTCATCGTCAATTCGAACAATGGAATCCGTGTTCCGACTTTTGATAGATTGCAGTTTTATCAAGTCCAAACGTCTCAGATAATGATTGCTTTCAATATGGATAGTATATTCTGCTTCTGGTCCTGAAATCAAAAATGAAGTGGAAAAATTATGCCTAAGTTGAGATTTACCGATTTTTTCAAGTTTTGGGACTGTTTCCATTAAAGTTTCGAACTTTGAACACTTTTCATAACTTTTTGAAAATTTCAGTTTATGTTATTTTTTCACTTTTTTGCTTATTTTTTTTTCACATTTTTACCTATGGGCCCCCTTTTCTCATTTTTACCTATTCTTTTTTACCTATTCCCTTTTCTTTTTTCATCCCTCCCCCTTGTCATAAAGAGCCAATATATTTTTATGTTTGATTCAAAGCTACAGAAATTTTCAAAGCGATTCCTCAAGTTTAACGTAAGTATTGTTATGGTTGTTCAAAGATTAACAGAGTAATTTTTCTTGTGATTTTCAAGAGATGAAGCAACTTTCACAAGTGATAACTTGGTTCAAAATTGATCAAACAATTTGAAACTTGGTCAGTTTACTGACCAAATATTCGAATTTTCGCACTCCAAATTTGAGCCCAGTGAAGCGCTGTACTCAAATTTTCTGCTAGTACAAACTTTAGTTCGGGTAAATCACTTTTACCTGATTCGATAGCACACTTTACCTGATTCGATAGCTTCCAAATTCTGGAGAAACCCTAATGTCTCCAAATTCGTGTTTCTTACACGAAGAAATCCATAAAGTTTGGTTAATGAAGATAATCTATATAAGACTTTGAAAGGAGGTGGGGCCTCTTCCAGAACAAGATCTCCGTATAAAACTATACAGTTTTCAGGGAAGCTTGCGACTTGAGGCCACTTGAAAATTCCATGAATTTCACATCCACAATCAAAAGAATTTCCGGTGATAACTCGATAATTAAAATAGACATCATGAATAGCTGAACAGGTCTTTTGTAAATTTAAATTCTGATTGTTTCGAATTTCAAGTTTTCCATTTGAATACAACAGTGATGAAAGATTTACAGCTGTCATTTTGGTGTTGTTAACAATTGATAACACATTTTCTGAAGATAATTTTTATCATGGTGTCTATAGATCTGTATTACCTAACGGATCTCCGGTGATGCTTTTGATGTTTTTAGTAAAACTGACAAAAGTCAACTGGGAATTCCAGATTTGTAAGACTCCTCGAATCTCCTGAACATTTTCGAAAAGCTTCACAAGTTGATCACTCGTCAGATCAGTATTTTGATCGATTCGGAATCTTCCAATCAGCTGAGAACAATTGGATGGAAATTGACTTGATGATGTTAGATAATGCACATTAAAATTGCAGTTTTCAGAAGAAAAAATATTGGAAATTAGGTTGAATAAAAGAAGGAATTGGCCTAATCTCAACATCGAAATTGAGAGAAAATGAAGAAAAATTGAAGTTTAGAAGAATAAATTATATGCTACACATCTCGACTTAAGGTTGTTATTTTAGAATTTCAAATATGTCACCTCACCATTCATTATCCCCCAAATTTCTCGGAAAATGTTGGAATTTAAGCAAATTACAGCTCGCCCACTCGACGAACTTTTCTAATGGCAAAAGGCTCTTTTTAAAAATGGAAATTATGAAATTCAAAAGGTTTTATTGCATTCGTTAAGTGGAATTTGAATGATGATATGAATGAAAAATGAGCAAAAATCGCTCTATTAAATAGTTTTGCATGGGAAAGAGAAAATAGGATAAGTATTCACAATAGAATCAAAATGAAAAAAAATTACAACTCGTTTACAATTCAATTTACGATTCTCCAAAAATTATCGAATTCAGCTGTTGAATCGTGACCTTCTTCTTCACAGCATTACTGTCTCCATCCTGATGTGTGAAAATGACATCGGAATGTTTTCCTTGTTCTTTACGCTTCATGGCTCCAGCTGAAAGACGCTTTTTCTTCTTCTGATTTTCTGTGTCGATAATCTCCTTGATTTTGTCCGTATTAGTCGTGATTCGTTCGGACTGCTGCTGTGGAGTGTGATCAGCTAGTCGAACACGTGTCAGTGTAATCTGAAATTTGTTGTCTCACTTGGAATACTCGCAGGCCCTAGAACTGAAAATCTGGGTGACGAAATATCAGAAAGTAAAAAATTACATCCCCCCTTGATTCCCGATATTTCTCTCTCGAGAAAAAAAAGTTTTATTCCTCAATTTTTTGCAAGCTTTTTAGACCTTTTTTGGTTTTTCAACTAATTTTCATAATTCTTCTTTGATTATTCCGAATTTTTTGTCTTAAATTTGACAGGACAGTGTTCGCAAAGATTACTGTAGATTAATGTAGAAAACCTTCTATTTTGTAGTTTTTTTTTTCAAAAAAAGTTTTTTTCAGCATTTTGACGTGATTGTGTTTGCAAAAAACAAAAAAGGAAATGAGTTTTCTACAGTAATCTACAGTAATATACAGTAATCTACAGTAATCAAACACCGTTCAATCAAAATTCAGACAAAAAAAACTGGAACAATCGAAAAAGAATCTTTGAAAATAGCTGAAAAACCTAAAAAGGTCAAAAATATTTTGCAAATATTTAATAAAAAATACATTTTTCTTTCGAAAAAGTTGCGCATTTTTCGGAGTTTTCAGAAAAGGGCGAGAAACGATTTTTCGAGATTTTGCACATCCTTTTGAATTGTTTTTTCTTTGTTTCTATATGAACTACATATTTTCTACACTGTGTACATCAGTAGGTCTTTACCGTTTCAGGGCCTAGAATGCTTTCGAAAAATACCTTATGAGCAATCAACTGCCTTGTGGCGTTGGCGAGGTAGGGCCGTTTTGGTTCTTCCAATGGAAACATTGTGAGAACATCAATAGCAGGAGTGAAGAGCCAGTTGATTTGATCCTTGATCATAGTGGCCGTATATGTTAATCCGTAATCACACATGACAGAAACCGTTTGATTGAAAATAGATAGCTCCCGCTGGTTATACAGTGACTCATTCATCTGGAAAAAAGTTTATTGAACTAAATATGATGCAAGTGGAAGCTTACCGGTTTGATGGGTGGCTGAGCAATTTTGACAATATATGGAAGTATATCCAATACCAACTCATTCCTCTGTGTTTGACGTCCAAAATGTCCACAAGAGCGAACATCACTTATAGTCTCTTCCGATTCTTTTGACTTTTGATATATTGTCTGTTCTAACTGAGGATATGCAATCGAAACACGAGCATGTGTTGCGAGGCTCAGATGAAGAGAAACGAAAAAGGAAGACGCATATTTTTGAACGGACCAGTTTTGGAGGCTGTGAATCTGAAAAATGAAATACCGAGGATTAATTTAAACTTTTGGAATTACAATCTTCTGCATATCATCGTAGAACAAGAACCAACTGGAAGCTTTGCGAATGACTCCTATCGGAAGTGAGACCATATAATTTGCATGTAAACCAGACACAAATCGTTCTTCTCCTCCATGCTCGGCTGCGATCCGTTCAATGACAAAAACACGTTCCCGTGTATTTTTGATGCCCCCTTTCGCATCTACATGCTTTGAGAGCTCCAGAATGGAAGACCAGTGCTCAAAGATTGAGGCGGCACCGCCTTTCTCTTTTTCAACAACCTGTAAAAATCATTTTCTGCAAGACATTTTTCAGACACTGAAACCTCGTGAATCAGCTTCATAGTGATGGATCGTTTCGTTTTGTTTGAAGCAACAGCGGCCCATTGTAGTGTGTTGATGGAATGTCTCATATCGTTTGCACACAAATCACATAACTTTCTCAGTGTGCTCAAATCACAACGGAGGTTTTCCATGTCGCAAATCTGTTCAAGACGTTTGGCAAGTGCATCTTGCTTGGTGGCACTCAGCTGAACACACCATGCAACTCCGCGCAGATCTCGAAGGGCTGGCGTGTATCTGTAATTTGAAATTTCAATTGAAACTTGAACTCTTTTATAAGATCCAACTATAAATAGTTCATTTTTTTTCATATAAAAATAACTGATTAAGAGAAAAACGACCAGTTTAGTGCATATCGAAAGAACTCGAAAAGCAAGAACGTCACTCGTCCAGACAACATGGGATCCGAGAAGATGATCGAAGTTAAAATCGACATGGAGGAAGGAGAACCATTGGGAGCTACTCCTAACGACAAATTGGTCATCACTAAGATTCAAAGCGGAACCATCTCGGAAGGAAAATTGAGAGTCGGTGATCAAGTGAAGAAGGTGAACGACGTCGAGTGTAAGGATGCAAACGACTTCTTCCGTGCTCTTCGTTATGCTACTCCACTTGCTCGTATTCTGGTCAACCGCGATGAGAAGAAAGCGGAGGAGTTGGAAGCACGTGTGCACATTCCAGAAGATCGTGCCAAGATCATTCAACGTCGTGAGGGATACGTCTACGAGATGGCTACATTGGTTTGGGTGCAGAACGGACCAAAGTTGGGTTTGGGAATCAAGCATTATCAGGTTACCAGAGTTACTTCTATATCGCCTGATAATCAATAACTACTTTCAGAATCGCGTTCTGGTTTCCCGTGTCGATCCAGGTTCACTTGCGGAGAAATGCTTGGTTCTTGGTGACCACTTGTGCGATGTTGACGGAATTCCTGTCACTGATAAGGACGTCGCTCGTGATTTGCTCGTCAAAAATCTCCAGGAAAAAGGAAAAGTATCGTTTGTCGTTGAACGCCCGGATTCGTTCGAAGCCAAGCAATGGGCTAAGCAAGCTCTGGCTGCCAATGTGAGGAGATTCCCAATATTATGATGATTTGATAATATTTTTTTCAGATTCTTCAACCACCATCGGTTCAAATGAATGATGATGTTCGCACCATTGCTTCGAAATACCGTGCTGCTCTGAAAGCATTGAAGGCTCCGGGGAAGAGTGCGATGACAACAGCTGGAGCAACTGGTGGGAAGAAAGTTCAAATCATCGAGGAGACCGCGACACATGAAATCGGTCATGATCATGAAGGAAAGGCTCTTCGTAAAGTCAAATAAGAACCGAAAAGGAATCAAAGCAACGTCAGGATGGATGAACTTTCTTTAAAAACCGATTTTCTAATAAAACGGTTTTTTTTAACTTTTGTATATATTTTTATAAAAAATCGGAGATGTGGAAGAGGAAAGCTTGTGGGCGTGGCCAACGGTCCTCATGATGAAAACCACCGTGACCTAAAACTTGTATTGCTTCGGACAACTTTTCTGTTAAAACCTCCAAATAAACTGGAAAATGAAAATATTCTAAATCTAACAAATATCCGGAAAATGGCAAAAATCGAGAAAAAAAACGTATGTAAAAATATTTATTAATTACGATAATTCGGCCATGGCCGTGGCCCCCAGATTTTCTTTTCCACAGCTCCGTTTTTTGCACACCAGCATAAAAAGAGTTAACCTACAAGTTATTGCAAATTCCGATAATTGGTCGTCGAACCGCTTTCTTTCCGGTAGCTTGAAGGCATCGAATTAAATGACGAATTGTGTCAATTGGAGTTCCATCGATTTCATCCAGAATAAGACAAGCTGGGCGCTGATCACCGTCCAGCGTACGAGACGTTTTCACGGCTCCTTCTAGTACTTTGTTAAGATCCGCAACTGTTCTAGCATCGCTTGCGTTGACATCAATAGTAGCATATCCAGCTTGGCTAGCCACAATACGAGCCAATGTACTTTTGCCGAGACCTGCAGGACCCGAAAGGAGCAACATTTTCATAGAGGGTCGGCGAATTTTTCCGTTATCCATTTGAAGAACGTCTTTCTCTCGTTCTCCGAGACTGGCTAGCAGATTGTCGACTTTCCGTTGGAAGACACACTCATCCCACATTTTTAGCCAGGTCAGAATGTTCCGGTTAACCGTCTGCAATCAATTTTCTTTTTTTTTCAAATATCAAAGTTTCTTCTTCCCACACTGTCTGACAGCAAATCAGCAAAATTTTTTGCCTCATATTTGTTAACCCATAAGGAAGACTCTGAATGGACCGGCAGCGATTCATTCATCATTTGAGAGAACTCGGATTCTTGTTCGTTAATCCTATTTGCTTCTTTCGTTTTTCTGAAAAAAATGTATCGTTTTTTGTTTGTATTTTGGTGTTATTCCAACCGAATGTTTTCAGCTTCCTGGCAAATCGTTTGAAATGCACGATATCCAACCCTCGATCGAGTGGCTTGCTGAGTGATACTTTCAACCAATGACGTAGCTGTTTGGTTTTCCCGGAAAGTTCGAATGTAGAAACGTTTTCCATCGATCACATCCCAAAGTCCAATCCAGTTTGATCCATCAACTGGAGGATTTTTCATGATTTCCTGAACATTTTTGAATTCTATTTTAACATCACTAGGGTTATACAGTATATATCATATACTAGAACCTTTTTTCGTTGATATCTTCTTTGCAGTTCCCGTTCACAGAGAGAAGAAATAGTTTGTTCTCCATCTCGCTCGCCTTCATCATCATCCCGGACATTGACCTTAGCTGCTTCAACAACTGTTTCGTTGATCTGCTGTTCTAAAACCTCAAGGGCTCTTCGCTTTGCCGCATTTCTTTGAGAATTTTGCAATACATTAATTGAAACTGTCTCTGATCTTTCGAACCAATCTGAATTCTAATATTCCTAATTGATAATCTGAATAGTACGAACCCATTGGATGTGACCGTCTTCCGTATTTATCGAATACATCTTCAACATCATTCAGACGTCTCTTACGGGTTCCTGAAATCATATTTTTTCTTGAATAAGATCATTTGAAGATATTAAAATACCGTATCCAACTTCTTCAAGAGCATTTCTAACTTCTTGACCTATTTGATTTTCGGTATTTGACACGACTGCTAATTGTTCTCCTTCATCATCCCTAGAATACACTTTTATTTGTACACAAATTTGAACGGAAATCATACGGGTAATGCAGTGCTCCATCGTCTTCATCAAATCCGGTGGACAAAACGTTGTAGTCGTCATCCATTTCTGTTTTGCGGTGTTAGTTAGGTCAGAAACACAACAACATTAAAGAACTTAAATACACACTCCTGTCACCAAACACACTACAAACAAAAAGCTGTGAACATCGACTTTGAAAGATACAACATTTTATTTTAATTCCAACATGCCAAAATGGATAGGAACTTGAGCACATCATGGTACTCGAGAACACCAAGGAAAGTAGGAAAATGAAAATGGGGGCTTGTAAATGGGGAAATGAGGAAGAAAAGTGATAATATTAAAACAACATTCAAATACAACTTGGATAGTCGGTGATGTCTGATTGCAACTTTGACTCTAAAAGAGCATGTTCAAGTGTCAGTCACCGAAAACCGGGGATGGGATGAAGGAGCGGGACAGATGGATGGGATTTTTTGAGAGATCTACTAAAACACTACACGCCATACAATTCAGATACCAGAATCTTCTTACTTAAATCATCATTATTAAAATAAGAGGAAGGAATAGACAAATAAATAGGAAAAAATGAAAGAAGGATAGGTACAGAATAAATATGGGGTGTAATTTTTTACAAGAAGGGTAAAGGAACATGTGAAGTGGATCTTTAATGTTGGCCTCCGTTTTGGAATCCAGCGCCGCGAAGTCCTCCACGAGGAGCTCCACCTGGACCTGCGCGACGGAAGAATGGTGCACCACCACCCCGTTGGTAATTTCCACGGCCTCCTCTGAACCCTCCACCTGGTGGCTGATCGCGCTGCTCGCTGATCTGAGCATGTCCATCAAATCCGAACGCATCGAGTTTGAGTGGGAGCTTCCATGTTCCTTGCTCATCGCGTGTGGACGCAGCAAAAATGGCTTGAACTCCAGCTTTGGTTCTCATGGTGATGAAAGCGAATGCATGTTTCGATGTGTCATTCGGACTGTCGAGAACCTTGCGTGGCATGCGAACTTCTTCAACTTCTCCATACTCTGAAAATAATGAATGTTTTCCCACAATTTGAAAACCACTTACTGTAGAACAGTTGCTTAATTTCGGTTTCAGCTTGAGACGTGTTACTTGGAACGATCTCACGAGTGATTCCACCCAAGTAGATCTTGCGCTCATTGAGACTGGCATCGGAGTTCTCTTGAGCTTGACGCAAATCATTCGCTGGATGTTGTGAAGACTGCTGAGCGTGCCTTTGCTGCTGATAAAGCTGAGCTGCTTGAGCTTGTTGTTGTTGTTGATGCATAGCAGCTTGTTGCATGTTATGCATTTGCTGCTGCTGATGAACTTCTGAAATTCGAATGTTTAGAGCAAATCAACTTTTCGTTTCCTCACGCTGTCCTTGTCCATACGTTTGCTGCTGTGGCGGATGCTGCTTTGAACCACCTCCAACAAGATTCGCCCAAGTTTTAGGAACCTTTGGTTGCTCCTGAACTGGCTCTGGAGCTGGAACCGGGACTTGAGCTGGCGGGTGAGCTCTTGGATGTTGTTGAGATGGAGCATGTTGCACATTCTCCTGCTTTTGTGGGGTCTTGACGACCTCTTTCTCCGCAGTTTTTGGCGTATCTTGTTTCACTTGACGAGGAACATCCTCAGCCTTCTTCGGTGTTTGTTGCTTAGGTGGCGCAGGTTTCGATTGTTCTTTTGGCTGTTCTGGAGTCTTCGGCACTGGTTTCGTCACTTTCCCGTTCGAGCTGTTCGAATGCCCATTTAATCCAGAGGACGAAACGGCCGCCTTGTCTTGCTCATGTTTGAAATCGAAATACTTATCGATATATTGGAAATGGTCAGTCTCCACGAAGTACTTCTTCTGTCCTTGCTGTCCGAGTAAGAAAGATTGAACGAATGGGCGGAAATTGACGGTTCCAATGACATTGATAATCACTCCAGCTTTGTGGGGGGTTGGGTACCCCTAAAACAATGTTCGTATTAAATTGAAACAATCAAAAACAAACCTTGATGGAATGAATTTTGAAGTGCGTGCTTTCCGGAAGCTTCTTGTAAGCGTTGGCAATATCCTGAAAACATTACTAATCATTGACGATAAAAGCGTCAAGCAAACCTGGGCACCCGTGACGCTCTGTTCGTCGAAGTAAAACTTCGATTCGTGTCCGAAGAACTTAGTAAGCGCAGGACGGTTTTCTGACACAGTGGTGTAGAATTGATGGCAGAAAGCAGCTCCCACTTCTGTAACTGGAAAAAAAAACGATATTTTTGCACGGAATATGAACGATACGATGAAGTCTTATAAATGACAAAACTCATAAAAACGTACGGTCTGCAGCAGCTGGAGGGGCTTGCTCGACTGTAGCACCAGATGCTGACAAGTTACCATTGATCGGCTCCATTTTACTTTGAGTCAAGTTCGAGGTTATCTGCATTTAACAATTACCTGCAAAACTTGAAAAGAAATAAGATAGTTAGTTTCGGTACAATGTTTAACAATAACGAGAGGAAAATAAGTAATTATTTCAAGAAAAGTATAGAGAACAAAAATTTCAGCAAGAAATCAGAAGTTTTCTATGAATTGAAAACAAGAAAAAAACAAAAATTTCGAACGCGCGAAATTCGAAAGAGTCATTTTTTGGCAGCGAGCCAGTTTGATTCGCAGGCGCGTTCATTTGAATGCGGTAGAAGGTCTCGCAACGAAAACAATTGGCGCGGAAACTTGAAAAAAGATTTCTGTTCTGCGCACTCTCTTTTTACACAGTGTCTCACTTTCAGAAGTTGCCACAATTCTTCGTTTGCCAACTCATGGCTCCTCAACTATTTATTCTCATAAAACATCTTCAGTTTCAGCGATTAAACTGTTCAATATGAAACTTATCATTCTGGTTTCTGCTTTTCTCGCAACAGTCAATGCTTCCGCGGTAAATTTCCCGGTCAAGTTGGTAAAAGATTACAATTAAAATTTTCAGAGAGTTCTAGTTGGAAAGGAATTCATTTCCATGTATCCGGTTGCCCAACAGGAAAACGTCTTTGAGTATCAAATTATAAACATCGGAGATACTGCTGCTATCAATGTATGTTGTAGATTATCAGGTTACATTGCTTCAACCAGAATCTACGGTTTGATGTTCCAGGTCGATTTCTCGGATCGTGGTTCTTTCCCTACTGATAAATTCGAAATCGTGAGCGGATCGTTGGACGCAAAATATGCAGTGATTCCCCCACACAGCAGTGTTTCCCATCATATTGTTGTTGTTCCTCGTGTTCCCCATGCGATTGAAGACAAGGATGTCCTTGTTGACTACACCGACTCTGAATCCAAAATTTCGTCTCGCGTATCCACCCTCTGGTTCTCAAAAGGCAGATTGAGTAAGAAGTCACAATCTTTTCAGTGGGAATATTATTCGTTTTCAGCACACTTCTTCCACCAAGATGCTCTGAAACATATCGCTGGTTCCAAGTACGCACATTTCTTCGTATTTGCTGCAATTGCAACACCAGTCACCGGATTGTCTGCTCTCCTCTACTGGGTTTCAAAGTCTCGATACACATTGCCAAAGCGTAATTGAACTGTTTTTATTCTCCCTTATTACTGGTTGTCTTTTTACGAGTACTGAAATTTATCGCTTTAAATTGTTTATATTAGTACCCGGTTAGAGTTTATAAAAGTTTTAGTATTTGTTCGACTTGGTGTTTTCAATTCTGACAAGTGCGTCAGAGGAATGCAAATTTTAGACGCCACTGAAAACTTTGCATAATCTACCATTCTGCCGTACTGCCTGGACAATTTTAACAGTTGACACTCGACTTGTCGAGACTGGTGGAAGCACGATGGGTATGAAGAAGGATCTTCTTCTTGTACTCACAATCGAATCTGTCGTTCTTGGCGTAGTATTGGGCTTCGTCATCAGACCATTCAATCCGAGGTAAGATCTCAACTTACAAGTTTTGATATACTATTGGCTTGTTGTATTAATCAGTTGTTAATCTTTACAATGCGAAAACGAATGTGGAGGTTTTTGTTTTTGGCAAAGAACATCGGCAAGACCACTGGAAAATTAGTAATCTATTTCTGGTACAAAAAAGTCTGAGTTGTGGAAGAGAGACGCTAGTGGCGGTGCCCGAAGGTCCTACAACGACAAGTACAGTAACCTAAAAACATTTTTTCTTTTCGGAATTCATGTTCTCTCCATTTTTTTTGCGCTTTTAGTCAATCTTTTCACTGTCGAACTTTTTAATTTTTCGGCATATTTGGGGAAAAATAACAGAAAAAAAACAAGAAAGCAAATCCGGCCCTTTTCGTCCATATTTTTGTTAATTTACAAGTTAAAATTTTCAAAACAGTATGTACTCGCCAAGTGCTTTCTAAGCTAATTCAGTTGATCCAATAATATTGATCCTGAAAGAAACTATGACAAAGCCTGCAAAGGTCCGTTTTAGGCCCGTTTTCCAGTCTGGATAAATATAAGAGTTTTTAGTAATGACACCATCAGTCTTATTGGATTTCCTGGTGAAATTTTCATGCAAATTGTGGAAATGATGATTTTGCCTTTAATCATGTCATCAGTAATTTCTGCTTTGGCTCAAGTACGTGCTCGCGATGCGCGTCGGATCGGAATAGTGACAATTATCTATTATATGACCACCACATTCCTGTCAACTTTCGTAAGCAAAAAGTATGTGGATCCGGTTTGAAAATTTAGTTTCAGACAGGAATTATTCTTGTATCTTCTATTCATCCAGGCGACCCAGAATTGATTCACGAACTGGGAGAGGGAACTTTAGAGAATACAGCTCTTTCTACATTGGATACTTTCCTGGATCAAATCAGGTGATAAGAAAAATAGGTACAAAGAAAACGTCTCTTTGCTTTAGAAATATGTTTCCTGAAAATATCATTCAAGCAACATTCCAACAAGTTCAAACTGAATATATGCCAATAAAACCGGCTCGTGTTCGTAATTCTACATCAATGAATATAACAACAGAAGTACTGCATAAGCAGACATTGACATACACAAATGAAATGAACGTTCTTGGTTTGTGAAAAAGTTTTGAAGAAAAGTTTCGAGAATTTTGTCTTTTTAGGATTGATTGTTTTCTGTAGTGGATTTGGAATCATTTTGAGCATTCTGGGAGACCAGGCTCGTCTCATGATCAACTTTTTCATTGTCCTCGATGCTATCATCATGAGATGGATTAGTGCTCTCATGTGGTTTGTTTTACCAGTTATAGGAACAAATCTAATTAAATTTTCAGGTGTTACCCAATTGGAATTTTGTCTCTTGTCTGCAAAAATATAATTGACATTGACAATTTAACAGAGACTGCTCAAGCTCTGGCAATGTACGTGGTTACAGTAATCTGTGGACTCATGATCCACTCTCTTCTCACACTACCCTTGCTGTATTTTCTTGTTACCAAAAAGTCCCCATTTGCATTCATGACTGGAATGCTACAAGCCCTGGCCACTGCATTCGGAACTGCATCTTCTGGTGCCACGTTGCCAGTTACCTTCCGTGCCTTGGAAGAAAATCTGAAAATTGATAGACGCGTCACTCGGTTTGTGTTGCCTTTAGGTGCTACAATTACTATGGATGGAACTGCTCTCTATGAAGCTGTTGCTGTTATTTTTATCGCTCAACTACACAACATCAAATTGAGTTTAATGGATCTAGTCACAATCAGTATCACGACTACGGTAGCTTCCATTGGATCCGGATCCGTACCAGCTGGATTGGACACTATTGTTATTGTTCTTACAACCGTTGGATTACCAGCTAAGGATCTCAGTTTGCTCTTGACTGTTGATTGGCTACTGTAAGTTATCACATGATTTTGCTTTATTTTGAAATCTTTCAGAGATCGTATTCGAACATCTGTCAACGTTCTTGGAGACAGTTTTGGTGCTGGAATTATTCACCATTTGACACGTTCGTCCCTCCTGGAAGCTGACACCGATGAGCTAATTCGACAGATTCGTGAAGACATTGATATTTTGAATAACCCACATCAAGACACACTTCCTATTTCTCATCACAGTGTTCAGTCAACTATTCAGAATACTCAGAATTCGATGCAGGTGGGTTTGAGATCATTTTTCAAAATTTTTAAAAATTTCCAGGCTCCTCATATATACTCAAAATCAGCCCGAGCCTCTTTCGCGCCAGTTCCCAACGAAGAAGAACGAAAAGCGTTGCTGAAAGAATCGATTGCATTGAACAAATCTGAAACTCATATTGTCTGAAAACCCCATCTCTCATATTCATCTGAATACCGTAGTCTCTCTTATTGCAAGAGGAGTATTGGAATACAGTTGTATATTTAATTTGCTGAAAATTTTGTTTACAAATTTCATAAACATTTTTTCGATATTTCTTTATTCCAAAACCAAAAAATTATAATTATCGGATACAAATCAATTGGACCTGTGGAAGAGAAACGGCGGTGGCCGTGGCTGAAGGTCCGGCAGTGACAACTACAGTAACCTAAAAATGTTTTCATTTCCGTATTTATTTTTTCGATTTTTCAGTCAATTTTAAAACATTAAATATATTTATTTTCCGAAATTT